GTAATTAAAAAGTAGATTAATCACCATGAAAGTCGAGCTTGATATGTAAGTCATCAATATAAAAAAAAAACATATCAAAAATTAACCCATTATCTTCAAGCACAGCAAAAAAAGTCAAGAAAACTGAGAATTATTAGAAATTTTTGAAGTGTAAGGTCTATAACTTTTCGTAAAAAATACGTTAAATCATCACAAAACTCGAACTTGATCTGTAAGTCATCAATATCAAGAAACATACAAAAAATCAAGTCATTATCTACAAGACAGAAAAAGAAGTTCAGAACAGTGAATTATTAGAAATCTTCAACCACAGCAAGATTAAAAAAATCTGGAAAATGGTGAATATTAAAAATTTTCATAGTCTAAGGGCCATTACTTTTGTGGTCAAATGGGTCAATCAACATGAAACTTTAATTTGATCTATAAGTCAATAATATCAAGAGTAAAACCAAAAATCAACCCATTATCTGGAAGCATAGCAAAAAAATGTCCGGAAAACTGACAGAATGAGAGAAGGACGGACGGAAAGGGGTAACATTATATGCTCGGGCCATTTTATGGCAGGGCTTCAGTAATACTTTGTGCTTTAAAAAGGTTCATCCAAAGACACACAGGTTTAATGAAAAAAAGAGATGTGAAGCAATATAGCAGCTTTCAAAACAATGAACTAATACGAAATTCAGGTGTGAATAAAAATTTCAGCAGCTTAAAGATTTACACATTTAGTTAATGTAACTTGATCAAGTTTGTACTGTACAGGAAATACAAAATAAATGAGTCCTTAGAAGACATCATTATCACAATAATAGAGAAGGTCCTTTGCAGATTGAATCAATTAAGATGCACCACAGTGACTGATGACATTAGAAAGAAGAAGATTTTGAGTTATCACTTTCATGTTCTGTTGTAAAAGATCCAAAAACCTGCCATGTTTATTTCAAATTGAAAGTTGAACTTAAAACAAACAAAAGCTGATTTTAACTTTAAGGTACTGCACCTAATGGTAAAACTAGAGGGGATTAGAGGTTTCCTCCTCATCTGTCCATCTAGCTGTCCCTCTGTACGAGACTAGGGGACTAGTATTCTTACACAAGTTACTCTCAGAATGCTTGTTGTTTTGGCATTAAAAATGGTAGATTTAATACACTGCTCTAAATTATATTATATAAGACAAGAGGTAAATCTGATGTAAATGTGTTTGAAATTACATAAACTTAATTAATGAAGAGGATTAACAGCCTCTTGAATCCAAAGTTTCTCTTTCTGTCTCATCTTTTATTAAAGCAATAGTAACAAATTGTATTTAACAAAAACAGCATGTCTTAAACAAGGAAAGAGATCCAGTTTAATGAGACTCATACTTTTATTCATCATGATGTAGTTTAATTCATACTTAAATGTAGACTGTACTTGCATATGAAATTCAAAATGAGGTTATTTCAACAATTAATGTATTTCAATAAAAGCAAAATCTAAAGCAATATCTCAATCTGTAGAGATCTAAAATTTTATATGCATTTTAAACAAAAGACCTATGGGCCACTCACCTAAGTCATTTTTCTCTTCCTGACAATTATAAGATTAAAAAAAATCTTACTGTACAGCCATCAAGTTATACTCACTTGTTCCATCAATTTTATTTTACAGTTTTGAGGTTTGGGGTCAAGTTTACAAATTGAAACCACTTTTTTGTGACAGTTGATGTATTTCTGTGTAAAACTTTTTTTCCCCTTTATAGGCTCCAACATAGCCATTAATGCCAAGATTTGAAAAAAACTTTATCTTAACTACATGGTTCATTCATTTAAAAATGTTTTATGTAGGAGTTTCTGCAAATTTTGGGGTTTATTTTTTGTTATACACCAACCTTCATGACTGAAAAAATGAGGAATATTTCCTCAAAGGTAGTGCAAAATTTTCCATGTGTAAAATTTGTACATGTACAGTATTTGTTTCTTAACAGATTTTGGACCTAAAATTATTACATATATACCAACAATGTCCAACAAATGCTATAATAATGTCTGATCTAGATCTTATCATATGTCCTACATATGTCAATATAATGTCTGACTTATCCAATACCAAATTTTGAGATGGAAAAGTGAAATATGATGATAACAAACAGTAATCAAGCTCACAAGTCCATTGAAACACTACAGATTTGGGGCAGAGTAAACATGGACCTCAAAAAACATCAGAAGTGGGTTCAGGTGCCATTCATGGAGGAGTAAGCATCCCCTGCCTACCTGTCTCACCTGTTGTGTGCTCCTTGTCATGATAAGGCAAACGGAAAAATCCGTAGAGACAATTTAGTGTGAAAATAATGGCATAACAATTTATATGAAAAATGTCAGCCAACATTCAACTTAATGACAGATTGCAAATTGCTGACAAGGTCATTGTATCGACCATAGAATTTGCGAAAGGTTGACTTCAAATGTACCTAGGCATGCCCTTCATATCAAATCAACTGAGAGACCTAAACTCCAGATGCAGGTTACAATGGTATATTGCTACATAAATAAGGGAAGTTGACAATAGAAAAGTTGAAGTCTTCACATTTATCATTAGTTTTGTTTAGGTTACCATTAACGTCATTTTTAGTAAAATATCTAAATATGAAACAGATTTGTCAGACTCTGTGGTATCTTTTATTTCGAGTTCAAAGGAATATATCGAATCAAGTAGGAAGGAAAACGAATATTGTCAACTGATAAAACATCATTAATATATCTAAATGCTGATTTGAAGGCCACAGCAAGAGACTTCTTTTCATATAGAAGTTTTTGAAAAATTCTGCCTCATACAAATACAAAAATAGGTCTGCTATTAATGGGGTGCAATTTGTACCAATGGGAATTCTGAAGACTGTTGGAAGACTTGATCTCCAAAGACTACATAGATATTGTCAATCAGAAACTTGAGCATCTTTTAAATGTCAACTTCAGAGTACTTGTGTGTACAATCAGAACACTTATTAACAAAATAATTTTGCAAATGACCAAGGACAAGGTAAGTAAATTTACAAGTTCCATTTTTATTGAAAAAGAAGCTGTCTATGATGTCAAAGAGCCTGGCCCCAGGATCATGAAACATCTTCAAGCTTTAGTCAAAATCTTTATGTTGTACTAAAATGTTGTAGAAGTCAAGCAGACCAAACCTGAAATAATTTTCAATACTGCTGTATAAAAGTCTCGTTGTCTGCAAAGTCGGAGATTAATTCAATAATAAATGAACATTTTACAGGCAATTGAAAATTTGACCTAAGTCTGTTTCATGATCCTGGGGCCTGGACTTTAATTTATCGTGGGGAATGGTTGTATAAAGAATTGAAAAGCTGTACATCTTGATGTTAGCCATTTTGGTAAAAATTTTGTGATTGGCAAAGCTAAGGCACACAAATCCACACATGTTTCTTGAGAAATCTGTATTCTACATACCCAAGACAAGGACATAACTAGATGTGCGTAACACCTTATCATAAAAAAATGTGTACATTCATGATTTAACATTTTTAATAGGCTGGTTACTGCAATACTCTTACATCTGTATGGATTGTGTAACTTAAAAGTTTAAAACAGGTTTTATTTTAGTTTTTTTAAATTTTCACCTTAATTAAAGGTCACAGTGACCTTTAAGTAGGATGCGACACACCTTCTACCTGAGATGCATTAATTGAAAAAGTTTGATGATTCTAGGTCTAATAGTTTCCAGATATGAGCTGGACAGGATTATGCCATTTTTAGCCATACCATCTTCAATAAAAGTTTGACAGTGACCTACTTTTAATATATGACACATCTTCTACCCAAGATGTATCAGCTGACAAAGTTTGACAATCCTCCAAGGCCTCAGAGTATTTAAGTTATGAGCTAGACATGAAAAAGCTAACAGATAGATGGTCTGACATGAATGCCAATACCATAATATACTGGTTTATTATACTTTCATGTTAAATACTAAAATTTGATTGGTTTAGAAGCATTTAACAATCCGTAATGTTACCCTCAGCGTTAGCAACATACTTGACAACAGGTAACATTTTGAAAATATCACATGCGTTCAAATCATGCGCGTACGGTTCACCGTAGAATTCTCAAAACGTCGGTTGTGCGTTTGAAAGAAGCCAAATAAACGACGTCAATTAAAGCTTGCGTTCGATGTAGCTTACTTGAAAACAACAAACGACAGACGAAACATCCTTGCGAGTGCAAACTTTAGATGATAAAGGACTTTTTGAGTAGCAAACAAACAATAAAGAGGTTGGCAAATCTTTTCCGAAGCTTTCTTATTGAGAATAATAGAAGCGGGGAGTTTGAAAGCTTTCTAAGTGTGAACTTAACGACGATCTCTGAATTTTTTTTTATGACATCCGAAATCAATAAGACATTCAGTATAATAAAATAAATAGTGCACGTTTTTGAGGGTAACAGTTGAAATTGACACCCCTCGGAAAACCATTTTCAACCTCTGCTGATGCGTCGGTTGACAATGGTTTTCCTTGGGGTGTCAATTTCAACTGTTACCCTCAAAAACGTGCACTATTTATATAATGTCCCATCTTGAGACTGGCATCTAAAAATGTGCCACCCAACATAGTTCATTATCTAAGAGGAAAGCCAAAAAAAAAAGTCTCAAAAACTATGATGGAATGACAGAATTATGAAATGATGGATGAAAATCAAGGGGTACCATAATATGCCTTGGCCATTTCATGGCAGGGGCATGAAAATCAGAGTCTTGATTATCTCCCTTGTTGCCCATTTCATAACACATCAAAATCAATACTTCAAACTGTCTTGTAAGAGAAAGTCTGAATATTCTAATTGAGTGAATACAACTAACTGTCCCCTTAAATCAGTGAGGAAAGCCAATGGAGAATAACAGGAATATCAAATACGTGACTCCTGCCAGCTTCAAGTTTGTAATATTGTTTTAAAAAAAAAGGAAAAGGAAAAAAAAGCACCTTTTACCAGTATCAAAAATCAGAAATTTACCTCAAGGTCAATATCAGAACCTCGCCTACAGTGGCTGATTTGCTCCACTGTCAGTGGGCAGGACATGGCTGTTGCTTTTGTTGTAAACTTCTATACCATGATGCCAGATAGAGGAGGGAGGGGAGGCTGTTCAAACACATAACAAACGTAGACATTATATAAAATTTTTAAAAAATGCAACTACTCATGTAATATTTTTAAACTTGTGGTCAACATTTCACATATAATAACTTTAAATTGATTTCTGACATGTATTACCAACAATTCTTACAAGGCATTGCAACTTAAAATCAAACCATTTTACTTACTGGTGGCAATAATGAAGACTGATATTGAAATTATATTTATCTAATCAACCAGTCCTATTATGAGTTAGAAATTTCTACTTTTTACTTTACGAAACTGAAGACAAAATTGCACCCTTGGAGAGAAACACAGTCACTAATAGCACACAGGATTTAAAAAAAAAACACCTTCCAATATGATAATCCTATCAATTGAAACCATAAAATTGAAAGGGAAATGTACAAATAATGTAGAGATTGAGAGTATTAGGAGAATAAATTATACATAAAGTGCAATTATCACTGAAAGTCAAATGGCTTGTCAATAAACAACAGCCCACATTCATTTACACAATGGCAGAACCATCCACCATAGTTGTGACATTCTGGTTCAGCATTCACCTTGGGCAGGTACAAAAAAAATCTATAAACCTATGGATGCTCAGTAATTAGCAGGCTAACAGTTCTCAAATAGGCAAATTAATGTCATGTTCTATCCTTCCTTGTGATTTGCAGTACAAATCAAATTGCTGAATCGTGACTGTGTATTGGTTATAACACAGTACATAGTTTCTAGACACTTTATAGTTAAAACATTCAGTATATCATTATGGGGTTAATAGCAGACACATCATATTCTATACTCTAGAGGGTTTTAAAATTCATGCAAAATTGTTGATTAGGACATGCATTGATAAATATTTCTTGATGTTTGTTTTTTTTATTTTGTTTACTAAAGAATATATATATTTCTCCAGCTATTATAAATGCAAAGAGTAAATTGCATGGTCTTGCCTAAAAATACTATACTTCTGCACATTCTTCAAACCCTTAAATCTCAATATTATTTTGGTATAAATTCTCCTCTTCGGTGCTCTATTTAAGTTCAGCTTCAAGACTCATGATTCTATGTGTCAATGGTCTTATAATCCTCAACATCAATGCTCTAAATGCCTTGTGTTAATTATCCTTTACACTTTTATGCTGAGATTCACTGCTCCTAATTCTCATTGTCAGTGGTCTTGATGTTATTCATCAATGTTGTACTTGATTTTTGTGAATGTTATAAATGCTCAGCATGAATGTTTTAATGCTCAGCACCAATGCTCAATTTCATGCTCCTCCAAACCCTTGTTCCTATGCTAAAGATGTACCGCAATTTAGAAGACAATGTTGAGAAAAAAAAGCTAGAGGTACTGGTAAGTGCTAGACGAAAAGGTCATTGTGCCCTTCATTTATGTTATGTCATGAAATGATAAAAAAAAAAACTTGTCTACCTGTACCATTAATATACACTGTACCAAATAGCCACGTAAGACTTAAGTCTACCCATAAGTGTAGTCTTTGAAGCACAGTGTGTGCCTTCCAGGTCATAATATCACCTCAAGTTATACTCCTATTGTACAAAACAGTAGGGCACATAAGAAACCTCCCTGCTTACATCCCCTGATTTAGGCAGGTTATAATGAAGGGAACTCTTGATCACCTCTTTCTAATGTCTGAAGTGTCAACATAATGATCTCACATGCTGAGAGTAAGAGTTGAGATTTTACCTCAAGTGTCTCGCACACCAGAAATTTGTGCTGAACCTCTTACATAGCCTTCTTTAAGCTATCACTTATTTTGCAGGCCATTCAAAGATTTCTACATTTCAGCATACACTAGCTCTTAAAAATATTGTCAGAGATCTTAGTGTATAGTCTGTGAATAGAAATTGTATAAAGTGTTTGAAGATTCTATAGTTTTCAGGAACAATTGTGTCCTCATCTCTTAAATATGCAACACTATTCTCATTATTCAGAAATGGATGACAAAGTGGCATTTCCTTAAATGACCTAAATTTCTTGCCATATATTATGGAATCTGGATTTTAAGTACCGTAGATAATCAAATTTTTCTGACACTTATTTCCAAGAGATATTCATCTTGTATATAAAAGTGAGACAAAATTTTCATGAATCATGGTTATTTTTATTGTAACCTTTGGTCATATAAAGTATACGCAAGAATGAAATTTTCGCCAGCAGACAATCTTGATAATTGTGCAAAAATAAAGTTCTTACAAATAAAAAGTGATTTATGGTATACTTATACATGTATTACTATAATATCATTGATTCACAAATGACAGTGGATTGGATGATAAATCTTAAATTAATACAATTCACTGAGCTCTGAAGTATGATACAAATTTTAACATATAAATAGGACATCCATACTTCCAGAATTTTTTATATCAAATGATGTTAATATGCATAATACAGATTAAAAAGAAAACAAATTTGCAGGATTAATTAATTAAAGCTCATCATACCACATTTATACACATAGTTCTATATGGGATGACACATGCAACCTACAAATTAATCATGCATCTGTACAAATGATAATGCAGATAATTATTTGAAATTGCAGCAAACGACTTTATTTGCAAAAGCAGAAATATCTGCAATACGGAAATATTCCTGATCGTGAATGTTAAAATCTTTCTGCAGGCCTCAAGCCACATATGAGTCAGTTGATGAAGCAATGAGGCCTAGTTTAATATGACTATTCTCTAATGTAAAGTCCCTTTATCTTGTAGTTAGCTCTTTAGAAAATGGTCTGACAGCAAAAGTATACTATTTTATTTCAAATCCAGCCCTTAAGATTACATGACAGTGAACAGTCATGGCCGATGCTTAAGTATTTTAGACAAACACACCAAAAATAGTTACTTAATAGGTACTTATAGAAGTACTTATATACCTAAGTCTTACAAAAGTACCTTACACCTTTAGTGGTATAAGTAGTCAATCTAATTTTACTCCTGGACAGAGACAAATTGAAGGGCACCACATACTGGTCAGTCTACCTTTAACACAAGTACATATCTGATGTAATGTAAGAGGACTTAGGTAGAAAGCAGAATGGATTTCAGTCCAACATGTTATATCTATCTAAATAACAATTATAATACCTCAAACTAAGATTTGGATCTGATGATCATCAAAGAATAACAAATTATAAAGCCGACACCATTGTGTTTCACCCAGGTATGAAATAAACTGATCAGAGAAAAATTGTTCACCACTAAACCAATAGGAATTAGAATTCTTGGTGACCTGTTTACAAAACTATTTATGACAAAGATGTTTTATTTACAGATTTAAGGAGATATTACCTGATTTGATAACTTGGTTCCTTCTACATGTCTACATTCAAATTCAAAATAATTGCAAAGTTCTCAAACGTGACACTTGGAGCAAATCAAAATGATCAGAACCTGTGTACTCAGAAGACAAAATATACATAACGAATCATACAGGTGACTTTTAAATCACAACTAATCTGAGTTGTCTGTAAAGATCAGAGGAAATAATCTCATATTTTAGAAGACTTTTTCCATTGTAAGACTTGGTAAGGATCTTTGGATTAACAGCAACAAGTCAACAACCCCCAAGAAAAACATGATTGTGACATTTTTTTATGTGATCAACTCATAGGACATTCACTCCAAAGATTCCAAATGCAGGATGTTTTCTATATTGAAAGAGTTGATTACTGGTATACTTGATTAACCAAAGTAAAAAGGACTTATTGATTATAAAACTGGTCTATGTTGGTGCCAAAGTACTGTCTGCAGGTTCTTTACATACATCCATAAAAAAGAAAAAATGAATGTACATAACTTATCACATTTTGTTCAAAATAAAATTATGGACTTTCAAACTTTTCACCTTCAATAGTTCTAAGCTCAAAACTTCACTTGTGCATTATGTTTTTGTCTGTATAGAGCTATATTTGAAATGCTGATTATGCAATTGAAAAAATAATAAACATTATACAAACCTTTTACTAAAAAATCCTTGCACCAATTGACAAATTATTAACTTTCCTATCAAGGAAAATTTTTGAAAATTTGTTCTTTTAATCCTCATTCCAAATATGAAAAGCAACCACAAAGTTAAAAGAAATGTTCTCCCCACAAAACAAACATAACTAAAGAATCAATATCTACTGGTCAGCAGTTCACAACAGACTCCCTGGACGTTTACGATTAATTACACAAAATATGATAAAATATGTAACTTTGTCCTAATTTAACACTTCACTGAAATATATACTGGTCAATTTCACTACCTTTCATTGTATACAATGGGGATGTACATAATGTATTTATAGAAAACATTTAAATCCAGATTAGAAAGCCATTTAAATTGTCCATGCTGGCCGGCTGCTTGGAAGTGGTAGCTATGTACACGTATAGTCAATGCAATTTTTCAATGCAATGAACATCCAGTCATTAGTTCATTTTTCTTAATTGAAATTGATTAAATGCAAAGAAATAAATGGTACATTAGAGTCCTGTTGAATAATATCAGTGATTAAATAGTTCAACTTCAAACCTCTATACAATTAATCAAACCTACAGCAACAGCTGCACAGCACTGGGGCAGTAATGCCACATTAACTCGTTTAAGTGATCGAAAAGTAATCACATTTTTTAAATTAAATCTGATCAGTGATTCATGCATTAAGTATGTCCAAACTTTCAGTTTGCACATACATGCTAACTTAATTATAAGATGTTATACTGTATATCCAACGTACCTTACCTACAGATAATTTTTCAAGATATTCTTCAGTATGATTATTACAAGTGCCATCAGATGTTCTTAGACAAAAAATCAGCATACGTACATTACCAGGGGTTTTGAAAAGATATCAATTGATGAAAATTCTTGTATAATTCAAAGAAAAATATACAAAAATTTCTAAACATATATTCTAGATGTCTTATTTATCCAAACTTGTTTTAGAAGAAGTGTTCAACAGCATATACAGACATTAAAATGTAGCAAACAGTTCCTTTAAGTATTGGAACTCAACTCTAAGGAAAAAGACAATAAAGTTCATACTACATTGCATATGTCCTTAAATCATATTACAATTCAATGGAATAGCAATGGTTGTAGTTTAAAGTACTCGAACTATTCTCTGTGTCAAACTCTAGTAACTGTACGCAACCTCCACAAATCACTTATTCTAAAAGCATGGCTGTAAAAGAATATTTTGTTCAATACAGGCCATATAATAATTTCTTATACAATTTATTTTGATAGTAACACTTTAATGTTGTTTATTTGATGTGATTTCTTTGGTACTGGTTGTTTGATGTTGTTTGTTTGTTGGATTTCAAATTTTGTTCCTTTAATGTGGCTGAAATTTAGTAAATGATGTTGTTTGGTGTTGCATATAGTTGTTCCTTTAATTTGGATGAAGTTTAACATTAGATAGCACAGCAAAAGCAGAGCAATATTCCCTTGTCCCTCACCCCCTCACAAGAGAGCAGATTGATCCTGATATAAATGAAAATTTACAGTTGTTTACTTTTATGTTGTTTGCGAAGTATAAATCTCTCTTACATTTGAGAAAGGAAGTTATGGAACCGTACAATTTATGAAGTCTAAATCTATCTTTTTTTTTTTTTAAAGTTCTTGCTAATTTTAAATGATTTGTTAAAATTTTCTAATTAGTAGCTAGACCATACATCAGTGATACATGTAATTTGTCATCATATGTTACGATCTATTTTGAAACATTCAGGAAAATAAGACACTTAATGCATCATCTCCTCTTTTAAGGTTTCTGGAAAAACCAAGCCTATATAAAGGGTCAATAAATAAACAAGGTATTTAGTTCTAGTAGGAATAATATTTGTAAAAAATATATAGAAAGTTCAAATAAAACTGGAAATAATATTTCAGTTTTACTGGAAATAATATTTCAGTTTTACTGGAAATAATATTTCAGTTATATATATAATCATTGGTTACTTGTATGAATTGCGATAAAATTTTTGCAAAAAAAAAGCAGTTGATCTACAAACACTCATACTTTGATCATTTTAGGAGTATCAGACAACATCACTATAACTTACTATCCTGAATAATTTGAAATCCAACAAATATCCTAATACCTTAGAAAAACAGGAAATCAAAGAACAATATTTTTAGCTACAAACATACACCAATCATTATCTACATGTGGGGAGATTTCTTTTTAAAAAATGAAAGGAAACATAGAAAACATGTCCTCACTTCCTCACCTTCAACACAGACAAGAGAAAAGATTGCAACCCAGACCCCTTAGTGTTTCAAGATCATGACTTTTCAATTAATTTATAAGAGCCATCACCAGGTTTCTGCAAAAAGAGGGGTGGGGGTGCAAACAAGGGTCCAAGAGGGGTACTCCCTCTTCTCGACCAGAAATTTTTAAATACATGTATGTTCCGTTCTGGTGCATTCTTCAAGTCATTTTTCACATATGAATTCAACAAAATTTAGCAGATTAATTGCTTTTACAGAAAACAGATGAATAATGAATTTATTTTATCTTCAAAACGATATGTTTAACTGTTCTTTTTTAAAGGGGATGTGACGACACCCTTTGTACCTCCATTCCAATGGCCTTGTTTATCTTGATTTTTTAAAAATGTATTTACAATAAAAATGGCCTTAAATCTTATTTCAAAACTTATCTTTTTGGTACAAGCATATACCATATACACTTCTCCATTCCATTAACATATTAAAATATACTTCTATTGAAAAACTGACCATATCACCAAACATTAGTAATCAGAATGAAATCTACAGGAAGTTAAGTGAAGTGTCCATTTAGATCCATGATGGAGATGTATTTGGTTTTAGAGTGTTGGACATCAGGGTCCCAATTTATATTCAAAATAATGTCTCAAAATATCTTGATAACAACAAAGCATCCACTTAAGAAATTTCTTTACTTCCATTAAAATCTTAATATCCCCTACTACTTGCTTCAAAAAATTCTCTTAAAGGCAATGATGGCTCATCAATATCTGTCCATGACAAGACAAATTGAATGTTTTGATCAATGTAAACACCAGACGAACAAGAAGTTGCAACCTTTTGTGTTACACCTTCCTACCTGTGCAATGCATTATACCATCCTATACTCAGGGGATGACTTAAGGCCACCATTTACATGCCATTAGCTTTACCTTCTTTCACCATTTTTTAAATAATTACTCTAGTCCAGGTTAAACAGAGTGTCTGCCATTGAACTTACCTGCCAATAAATGATCCATCTCGGCTGCTATTGATGGTTTGTGCACATTAAATTGTATTTGCCACCAATTCTTCAACAGAAGTTGTGCTTCAGTGGTCTGACAATTCTCTCTATAAGGCTCAGTAATGGTGGTCAGCTTTCCTCAGTGCCTGCTCAATTCACAAATACAAAAAAAATGTGTTGAAAATATGTGTGAACTAGCTACCATGTGACAATTGATATCTATCATGCTTTTATGTTAAAAAAAATTACGTTACTTTTTTTCTGTATATCACTATATCCATTGATGGGCACATTAATACTAGGGTAATAGGATTATACAGGTGATATACCCAAACAAGAATCACGCTGTTATGAAATCTGTCATGACGATGACGACTGTCATCTTATTGGCAAATCATTTACACAATTTTGCATCTGAGTGACTTTTCCTGCTACCTATTGATATAGGGAAGTTCTGATGAACTCATTATGTTTTATTCACATTGATGTTTTTTTTTTATATACCTATAAACACCATTTTGTACCTGTTTGTTTCCATTGAAATAAGATTCAGTCAGTCATTAAAAACTATAAAGCTAAAAGCAGTAAACATTTCGTTTATATACTTGATTTCTCAAAGCTAACTGGAAACCAGGTGAACGGTGAAAATGTAGGAGTGAAACTTTTTATACACATGAATTAATAAACTTGCAGCTCTTCATCACAGATATTTGAAAACTTAGTATACATGATATTTAAAAAAGTTCAAAATGATGAAATAATTGAAAATAAAACACACATATTGAAATTTTAAATATTCATTTTTTCCCATGGAAAGAGTCGTGAAATGGAGAGGGAGTTGAAAATACCTATTTCTGCAATACAAAGTCATCAAAAATTATATGTAAATTACTTACCCTCAATACGTAAGTCAAATCACAAATAATGAGTTAATATGCCCAAGAAACAGAGTAATTAACAATTGTCCTTGGTGCACCCAGTAATGTCAACATACAGAATTGAAGACACAACAGTACTGCACACATGAAGACATAAGAATATTTACATTTACAAAACAGGTAAACTGTATGCATAATTGAATTCTGATCATTTCTTAAAGTCAGCATTAATTAACTTGTTCTACCTTAGCCAATCAAGTCTTGCTTAAATGGAAAAAAAATCAAAGTGACCTGATGTCAGGTATTAAGAAAATTCCCTGTCATTGAATGCTTGACCTTTATGTATACATGTATATCTCATGGAATAAATGTAATTCTGAATGACAGGTTTGGATTACTGCTGCTGGGTTCTATAGAACCCCTATTTTTAATATGTATAAAATTTATTTGGCAAGGCATATTTTTTTTTCAATTTTTATTAATAGAGAATGGCACTGCATGGCTGATTCAATTTTGTTATCAAACCCCCTCCTCTCATCCCTCCCCCAAAAACTTGAATTTCTGAATGCAAAGAAATAAACAAGACTCTCTACAACCATTTGACATCTTGTTGGTTAGGAAAAAAAATTAAAGGAATACTTAATTTTTCCAACTGTAATTTCATCCATTGTAGATTCTGTGTATTAGCTAAATTTTATTAATACCCCCCCCCCCTTTTTTTTTACCCCTTTCCCTTAGACTGTGGTTTGTTATGAACTCTTAATGCTGAAATAATATAAAACATTTTTTTTTTCAATCCAAAAGTTCACAATTAAATTGCACCTTTATTTAAAAAAAAATGAAAGATCACTTTGATGTACCAGAAACCTATAAGGAAATGCTGGATTTGGTTTAAACAGTTATTGATAGCTATTGATAGCCATTTCAAAGTGTACTTTAAGGTCAAGAAAATGTATTTGATATTTCATAGAGAAATGCAGTGGAAAACTTAACTTCAAAGGCAGTTTTAAACAAAACAAACATTTTTATACTTTATATTGAGACAAGAGCTTTATCATCATTACATTTCATTCATATTATAGATCATAAAGTACATACTGACTTATTCAAATGAACTCCACATGCAGATTAAAAAAAGACTATATATTTGTGTTTATATAGAGCTCTAGAGCCTAAGAGGGTTATTTTAAACCCCCCTCCCCTGATGAAATGTGTGTAGTAATTATTAAATAACCTAGCTATTTGATGAAGGCAATTTTTAAACAGATTTTACAAGGAATACTTAATCTTTTCAAGTTGTAAAAGCATCATGTCATAGTTAGATGGAGAGAAAGGGGAGGGGGGAAAAGGGGGGTGTCAGGGGGATCCAAACCTTTGATTTTTCATAGTTCTTAAATTTATAAAGGAAAGAAATGAAAAAAATGACTGTATCCCCTCACCCTAAAAAGAAAACATAGACCCCTTGTGACTTGTTAGGAATTAAGAGTCAGATATCTGAGAGAATTTAGCTGCTTGTCCATGACAGGTGTGATGGGAGGAGAGGTTCCCTGCACTTATACCTGTTTGTATACATTTAAATCAATACAAATATACATTCTGGGGTGAATTCACTTTTGGAAATTCTTTTTTTTTAACTTGAAAATATATCTTTTACAAGGAGTAGATTAAGCAAGACAAACATGAATAATTATTAATTATCAGCATATGATTCTTCAAGGAGATAAAATACACATAAATACCTAATTCTACTTAGTACTTACATAATATGACACATCCTATCAAGCACAAATTCACTCCAACTCCTACTTCTGCAAAAAAATCAGATATCCATGAAAATGTAAAATCCTTGAAAAGAAGGCATAAAACTGATATTTCCCAGTAAACATTCCTAGGAGGGCATCAAACATGAAAAATCAACAATCAAACCTGCCCATGTCATTCCTAATGACTGTCATTAATCATCTTACCTCCTATTAGCACAGGTAAGGACCAACAAACTCAAGCCGTCATATCGGATATTAGACAAATTAAACAGCAATGAAAACTTCTTAGAAAGTGTAAATATTTCCATAAACAGTCACATGTAAATGGACTATTAGTATACGTCTCGTCTCCTGTGTTGACATCAGTTTTTCATGACCTAGTAAAGCTTTCATCGGTGTCGGATCAAAGGTAAATGACCCTGGCCGTTTCCTGCAATTTACTCAAATTTAATCAAAAACTTGTGGTAGACAATATCAGCTTCCATTTAAGATAAAATGATTCACTTCTAGGTATGAATTGTAATTTATCCTCAGCAAAAAAAGAAAGAAAAACACTTATAACGTCAGCATCCATTCAACATCCTGGGCCAATATCCTTGTGGATAAATATAAAACGTGTTATCAACAGTAATTATCCATAGATTGAGAGATAATAAAACATGATAGATTTGCTATTGCCATGCCTTTCCATAAATACTCAGAATATATAAATTATATCAATTAAACTGACACAATGCATACTTCAGTCCTTATTTGATTTCATTATTGTTAAACTAGCAATTAAGTATTTATAACTCTTTGCTCAATAGAGTTTTATAAAGCAACCCAGAATGCTAAACAGCTAAAAAGAGTACATTTGTATACAGTTAATATGAAGTTAAATCAGAACTTAATTTACATTGAATTTATATTAAAAACAAATATTTAAACAGTAAAGCAATGTGATCTGAAGAGCCTTTGTAAATGTGCTGGATAAAAACTATTTCATTCTACTGAAAGTCTGCAGCTGTTCTTCTTTGTTGACCAGTCTAACAAAATACTCTCTAAAGATTGAGTCCTTGGAGCTTAACCTAACATAAATTGGACAGCATCCACTTTACTTAAATTGAAATGTCAACATAAGTCTTTTTCTTTAAAGCCAGTAAACTGTAAATATAAAATATGCTTCACCCACATACAAAATAGGAAATGATTCAAGCATGTCTCAAACATCCTTAGGTAAATTTATTATACCATAAGTCTCCAAAGAGACTGTAACTCTTAGTACCAGTAATATATACATGTACTTATAATTAAGTCTGTACTTGAAACTTAGTAGCTATGGTATCACAAATAAATAAAATTTTGATCCTTGATCTTGTCTACTTTTATACCTAATTTTTTTGAATTCATGCAGACTAAAACCAGTAGCAAAGTTGTCCTTAAGACCTAGGGCTAGGGTATTTCCCCACCTATAATAACATACCCCCCCCCCCACCCTCATTATCTTGGTATTTCCCCTCAACTCCCAGAATCCCATCTACTTTTTTAATGTCCCCTGCTGTTTCATTTCTTAGGGACAACCCTGCAGAAGAGTTCTGAATGAATTCCAACATTTTTCTACTACATGTATTAGTAATCATTGCAACACTGTTCATCTAAATCAAAATCCAATACATTAAATTATATATCTTAGTATAGTCTAATGATACAATCAGTTTTTTTTGAAATGGGATTGAAATATAAGAAGTAGCATTTTTACAAACAATTCTGATTTCAGTAATCATGGCAACATCGGTTCTCAAAATCAAGAAATGATAAAAAGAATTATGTGCCTTTGTGTAGATTGTGTGCTTACTTTTATTGAAACCATATCATGCACAAGAATTTTGAAAGAATTTCACAGAAATTTATTTTTCTGGTGACCTGAAGACAACACAAGTCACTGAAATAAAAAAACTGTTTCATAAATTATTGAGTGTTTTGTGTATCAAATATTACTGAAATGAAACCACAACTGGAATACATGTAGTATTTAAAATGAATCTTATCAAAATTTTTAGTTTTAGTAACCTTGACTTCTTTCTTCTAAATAAAAAATGGATATAGATAGAATTTTGTATCTCATGTTGTGTACATATGCATTTCCTCCAATTTTTAAAATCTAACCAAAACTGTAGGCTCCGAGTAGTATTTTGATAGATTTTCACAGAGAATTCTATTTTCAGTAACCATGAAAACACAGTTCACCAAAATCAAAAACAAGTATAAAGAATTAAATGTATCTTACTCTTTTCTAGTTATTTACATGTAACCTTAGACTTTCACTGAAATCAGGTTTAACATGTAGGTGGAGAAGCGTTCTAAAAAACTGTTTACAGACAGATGGACACCTTATCAATGCATAAGCTCTTCTACCCTTTGACCAGTAGAGCTAAAAAAAATTTACATATATAAAACAATGCACTGAAAGATACTCTTGCTTTCTTTATTCTTAAGGCTGTAAAGAAAGTTTGTTCTGTCTCATACAGGTGCTACAATTCAAAAGTATAAAATATAATCTTCCTCTGCACATACTGACTACTGTGAAAGAAATGTATGCAATGAAGTCATTTTTCTTCATTTGTAAAAGAGTCGAAATACATATACATGTACCTTACATTCAGCTAAAATATGTTTCCATTTCAGCAACCATCATATCATCTATTTTCCAGCTATACATACAGTAATTGTATTGGACAAAGTTGATACCTGAGCACTCTTTCATTATTGAAATTCGTGTGGGTTTATATGTTTTGTATATGGCCTCAAAATCTTCTGTAATAGTGTCAGCAGCTAATCTTTCCCCAAGTCTTCAGAGCAATATGTGTGAGATTGTTTATGAAGAAAAGCAATAATATGAAGACAAAATTCTGTAGGATGATTGATAATAAAAAGAAAATAAGTATTATGACATTGAATGTTCTGAACTACAAGAAAATCTTAATAGTATTATTATTAACTGGCTATAAAGACAACAGCAAGTTTACTGTCCTCCAACATTTCCCAAAGAACAGCAAATGGAAATACTTGTTGTCTTAAGGACAATAAACTTTCTACTGTCTGAATACTGTAGATTCCTTATTTTACGCAAGTATTTAATATCGCGAAATGGCCCCTAGACGTCAAATCGCAAGAACGATAATTCATGTGTGGACGGTTGATCTACAGATTTTACATGGATTTCAGCACCATAAAAATAAAATCAAATAAATTTCATTTTGCATTTGGTGCTTCTCGCAAAATTACACGAAAATTAATTGCTCGCGTATATTTAGGAATCAACAGTAGTCAGTAAATAGGTGTTTTATTATAACGAATCAAACATTACTTTTGTCACGTCAGAAAACCAGAAAAGATCCGAGCTTAAACGCAAGGGAAATTGAATGCTGCCGGTGAATAGTTTGTTGACTATTTCACCATTAGGCAAATAGCACTAAAACTATTTCACTGTATAGGTTGTTTAAAAAAAAATAGCAGGATTATTCTCAGGGCTTAATAACCCTTGCATCCAGGTTTTGTAAAAGTACCCTGTCCCAATTGAAAATTCTCTTTTTTCCCAAAAAATTTAGGTAAAAATTCCCAAATGACATGCAGATTGAATTTTTCAGTGCTCTTTATATCTAAAAAAAAAAAAAATTGTATTTTGAGATTTTAATGATTCATAAATTAAAATTTGAATAGAGAATAAGACCTCAAAGTAACTCTTTATTCTACAGTAAAACTTAATAAAAGACATCCATATTTCCAAATTTTGCAACCTTTTTGGTTAAAATTCCCAACTGAAAGGGTACAGGACCCTGTACCAAAAAGGGTCAATTAAGTCCCGATTCTAATCATAAGTGCAGGTCTACTTGACCATTTAAACTATAAAATACTTTTTGTATTATACATTAAAAATTCTTGAATAATTCTTTATTCAATATAACTATCACTTACATTATAAATGATAAATTACAGGTAAATCAAAGGGAAATAACTTCTCTAAAAGTAGAGTAAAATCAGCACCCTGGTCTGCCATGGCACCAGAACCCCCGATCCAAGGAGCATGAATTTCACAATCTGATCAAAAATACCCTTGCTCATTACAACACTGACTTGGTTTGCCTGCTAGATGCCCAGGAGCACAGAAAATTTTCTAAGAATTAATTTATATATTTTTACTATATGATTAATAGAACCCCATCCTAACACCAGAATCTCTGACCCAGGGGCCATAAATTTCACAATTTAGGTAGAGATGCCCTTGCTCATCATAACCAAGCACTTTATTTGTCTGCAATACATATGGGGGGGGGGGGGATAAGAAGATTTTTAAAGAATTTATGTATTTGTGCTGAATGACAAAAAGAGCCCCATTGTAACACCAGAACCTCACCCCAGGACATGAATTTCACAATTTTGGATATATATATTGTGCATTTATTAACAGCAAATTTTAAACTCTAAAGCATCTTATTTGCATATAAAATAATATTTACATTTTCTTTGGAAAAAATACAAAAAAATAATCAAGAGAATATCAATCTTTCTATGCTGAAACTGTATTTCAAAAGAGATGTCTTGGAGATTCATTATATAAAATTTTGTGATGGAAGATGGATGCATGAAAACAGATAGAAACACTTAAGTGACTCAGGTGACCTAACACTATTCTTTTCAGTTCTCAGAACAAAGGCATACAGATAAATAGATGAACAGACAATTAATCAGTACATGCCTATGGTATCTATGATAATTATTATATACCACACCCTTCCTGTATGCAACCTTAATTAACTATCACTTTTGTCCACAAGCCCATCATGTATGAAACCTCTCTCATTGTAACTTCTCAGTATGTGTGATGTGTTGTACTTCAGCAGGATTCATATTTCAATGCCTGCTGTGCTGTCTTTAGTGCATTTAATCATGGTCACCACAAAATTAGATCTTCACACCAATATGACAAATGCAATAACCAATAGTGCTCACCAAGGTTTGCACTACATGTAGTCTCTGACCTACTGATGCAATTAATTTCAAATAGCTAAAAGTACATACACAATACAATACCTGTACTATACCACAGTTCAATATGTTTCTTGGAACTTTTTAACTCTTAAATTTCAATAATATAGCGAAAAATAAATTTTTCCATTCCTGTTCAACCAGATTCCACTGACTTTGTAAAAAGCAGAAAAGATTTGAAGACTAGTTTTCAGGTCATTTTATTTACAACTATATACCATATACAAATAAGACAATAATTTCAATTAATTTCCTATAAATCATTTGCAATTTCCAAATATCCTAAAACTTTTTCTTTCTTTTCTTTTTCACTGATCTTCCTCCTGGCTGTAAGTCCTGTTTAGTCACAAACTGAACACCATGTTTATACTTCCCAACCTGTCCGTCCACACGTCCAACATCATTCCGATCTTTCTTCCTGGCGACAACCTTTTTTTGGACCTTGTAACCCAGCTTCCTATCTAGTTCCCTTTTTTCTCTCTCCTCCACTTTTTGCTTTTTCACCATTTCCTGATATTCCTTGTAGTTATGAGCCTTGTTTTTCTTGGGTTTTGCTCCGAGTTTAACAAGCAAGGACTCCATGGCTGCTTCTTTTTTCTCCTCGCTGAATCCTTTGATTCCAAATTTCTGCACATCCAATCTTGCTGACTTTAAATCAATAACATGAGTTGATACCTCTTGGGATTTTTCAATGAAATTCTTTGTTTCGTCTTCTTTCCTTTTTGATTTTGGTCTTTCATACACTACAACCTTTGTATTGGTTGGCTTTTTGGTGTCCTCACTCATGTCTGAATTCATAACACTCATATCCAATGTCATCACACTTTTATCCATATCATTCAGTCCAAGCTCATCTTTCATCTGCTGTTTCTTTTTTTCTTTTCCACTCATTTTAGTTTGCTCCTCTTCTACAATTGTTTCAACGGGTGAGCTTCCATTACCTGCCTTATTTTTCTTTCGCTTTTTCCTCTTCTTTGAGTAAATTTTCTCGCTGATATCATCCTCCTCAGCTAAAATTTTCTTTCTTTTTTTGATCTTCTTTGCATGCTTGACTCTGTTTTCATAATCTTCATTGTCCATCAAACTCTCTCCATAGGCATCTAGTCTCTTTAATAATTCTTCATGCAAACAATCTGACATTTCACTTTCCATAATCTGCAATATTGAATAAAACTTAAACTTTTTTCCTTGTCCAAAACTCTGCAAAACAATAAACTGTTACTTTTGTTTAACAAAAGGCCTAAGGGCCTTAATGGTCACCTGAGTATAATAAAACCCTGTAAAGGATCCACAGAATGGTAAATATAATCATATAATAACACAAAATAAACTAAAACTCAAAAAAAGGAGATAAGGTAACAATTTTGCATCATAACCATGCACCTAGTTTCTCTGATAAATATTGAAGAGCAGAGAAGATTTTCAAAGAATTTCATGCATTTTCACTACATGATCGAAGGTACCCCGCCCTGACTCAAGAACCCCTGATCTAGGAGCCATGAATTTCAATTTTGGAAGAAGCATGCATAATCACGCACTTAGTTTGTCTGCAAAAATTAAATACTAAGGGGCACAGAAGAACAATCAAGATTTTCAAAGAATTAATGCATTTTTTCACTATATGACCAATAGAGCCCACAATAACACCAGAACCCTTTTTTTCCAAGTTTTGGATGAGGCACCTTTTCTCTTCATATCTATGCACTTAGTTTGTCTTTAAATATACAGGGGGAGAATATATAATTCTTATAAATGTATAAGAATTTATACAATTTCACTATATGATCTATAAAGCCCCATCCTAACACCAGAAGAACCCCTGACCCTGGGACCATGAATTTCCTAAGTTTGCGGACAATGTAAATCTTCATTATACTACTTTCAAGAAATTTAAAATAAGCATATTATTATATGTAAAATTATTTATTTTGTTGATGTGTGAAGTTTCATTCCATTCAATTTTATAGAAATCAATTTACTTCATTTTAAAATCAACATGTTTGATAACCCCAGAGCACACTTAACAATTATTAACAATTAATTCACAATTCATTATAACATCAAAAATATAGCGTCATGAGATTCTCAAAATATTCTTCCTATACATTTCATACAGTCTGGTCCAATATCTGCTCATTAAAAACGAGTCTCTATCAATTGAAATTAATTAGGTCTTTCCACCTTTCTGTGGAAAGACCTATTGAAATTGTTCTGTTTATTATTATTAGGTCTTTCCACCTTTCTGTGGAAAGACCTCTTGAAATGCTTATGTTTATTAGGTCTTTCCACCTTTCTGTGGAAAGACCTCTTGAAATGCTTATGTTTATTATTAGGTCTTTCCACCTTTCTGTGGAAAGACCTCTTGAAATGCTTATGTTTATTATTATTATTATTATTAGGTCTTTCCACCTTTCTGTGGAAAGACCTATTGAAATGCTTATGTTTATTATTATTATTATTATTTTTCCGTTACCGCCTTTTGAACCGAAAGACTTTTCGAAGAACTTTATAGTTCATGATACTCGACATCAAAAGTTATTTCGAAAAACTACCCAACGAGTATGACCTATGACCTCTTTCGGAGTTCTTGCCCTTTAAACAAAAAACCTTGTTATCGCTACTCCTTCGAAATCATAAACCGCAGAGGTACGAAACCTTAACCAATGTCTTCGACTAACTGAGTACTCGCTTCAAGGTTTCACTGCGAAAGAATTCGTCGACCCCTTTTATGAGTTATTGCCCCTGGACGTTTCTCATGTTTACAAATAATGAAAAACTTTTCTAAACGACAAGTCGTAAAGACATGGGACCAACTGCATAAGATTCTTTGACCTTAGACCTTGAACTTAAGGTCAAGGTCAAAGGTCAAAGTCATTAAAAATATAAGAAAATTAGCTCTTTTTATAGCTCTTTTGTCTTTCAACATATACTACATATCTTTGCAACTTTAATATGTCCTTCTAAAAGTATTATAAAAATTTCATTCTTGTCCCCCAAGCTTGACCCATTCAAAAGTTTTCATCCCTTTCGCAATAAAACCTTGTTATCGCTACTCCTCCGAAACCGTAAACCATAGACATTCCAAACCTTCATCAGTGTCTTCGACTCATTTAGTACGTTCTTCAATCTATACAATGCAAAAGGGTTCTTCGGCCCCTTCTATGAGTTACTGTCCCTGAAAGTTTTTGCTGCTTACATTTAATGAACTTTTTTTTAAAACGGTGTATCCTAGAGACATGGGACCAACTACATCGGCATATTTGACCTTTGACCTTGAAATATAGGTCAAGGTCAAGGTCATTTAAAACATAAGAAATTCCTTATATATGTGTACAATATAGCAATTCACCAAATGACCTTGAACTTTGACCTTGACCTTTGACCTTGACCTTGGGTCAAATGGAAAAGTAAGGACATGCATCCAGCTCCAGTATCAGGAAAAACATAGAAAGTAAAGATTTCTTGTTTTTTTTTTTTTTTTTTGGTAATGACCGTGACCTTTGACCCTTGACCCAAAGGTCACAATCAGGCTAAAGGATGTGGAAGTAGTTACAATTCTTAGTTTAAAAGAGGCATAAAATAAATAATTCATCCCCCACCTTCTTAAAAAAAAAAAAAAATCACATCAACAACAATGTAGAATGTTACTCTAATATTCAAACCAGACCTCGGATCGACACCAGATTTGGTACAAATGTAGTATAGACCTCAGAGAAACTTTCTGGAGAGTTTTACGGTGAGTCCTATAATTTTATAAAAGTCTTGAAGTTTCACGGCAAAAACTACAAGTTCTGTTGTGTTTGAAATTTAAGTGCAGGTGAACGAAGAAATGATTTAAACCTTTTATCGGCTATTTCTTCAGATGTCTTTAGTAGCATTCAATTCTCCTGATATGATACGACATTTTAATTCCAAGCATTCTCTCTTTCTTTTACATTTGGAATTTATTTGATTTTTATTTAGAATTAATCATTTTCCAGAAATAGTGATTTTCGGTATATAAAAAAACAATTCTCGCTTTCAATGTCGTCTTTCCCTTCTAAAAATGCATGTTGGGAGTTTAATTTGTGCTACACATATTTAATTTAACCCAAAGAAATGCTTATTTAAATGTTTCATATTTATTTCAGGATATTCAGACAGAAATGTTAAAATCCGAACCCGATCTTTTAAGCTTACAACGAAGCTATTAACAAAAAATTCAACATGCGCACAATATCGATGACTCGGGCTACAGTCCATTAATACATTTTCCTTAGGGAACAGTATTAACGTTTTCTCACGCAGCCCGTCCCTTATTATTTTATATACTGCTTGCAAATTCAGGAACTATTTCCTTTTACGGAACTTCTTTCTTCCCCTACCGATTCTAAAAATATGCTTGCATTTCTTCTATAGTCTTAAACAATTAACTTACGAATGATATCAGAATGCGTGGCCGAATGGTTAGCGCACCTGCCTTTCAATCCAAGGGTTTTGGGTTCGATCCCTGCTGGAGGAGCAATTTTTTTTTTTTTTTTTTCCCCATTTTTTGCATTTTTCTACTTTTTCTCAACCCAAATGACACGGAAACACTTAAAAAGGTGGAAAGGCCTCTAATTGTTCTCTGAACAATTAGTCTCCTAGTTATTATTATTATTATTATTTTTCCGCTACCGCCTTTTGAACCGAAAGACTTATCAAAAAGTTTTATAGTTCATGATACTCGACATCAAAAGTTATTTCGAAAAACTACCCAACGAGTATGACCTATGACCCCTTTCAGAGTTCTTGCCCCTTGTACGAAAAACCTTGTTATCGCTACTCCTTCGAAACCGTAAACCGTAGAGGTACGAAACCTTCATCAATGTCTTCAACTTATTGAGGGGACTCTTCAATCCTTTCATTGCGAAAGTATTCGTCCACCCCTTTTATGAGTTATTGCCCCTGAAAGTTTTTGATGTTTACGAATAATTAAAAATTTTCAAAACGATAAGTTGTAGAGACATGGGACCAACTGCATAAGATTCATTGACCTTTGACCTTAAAATATATGCAAAGGTCAAAGGTCAAGGTCATTGAAAATATAAGAAATTAGGCTCTTTTTATATCTCTTTTGTCTTTCAATATATATTAAATATCTTTGCATCATTAATATGTCCTCTTAAAACTATTTCAAAGATTTCATACTAGTCCCCGGAAATTTACCCCTTTAAAAGTTATTGCCCCTTTTACTGAAAAACTTGTTATCGCTACTCCTCCGAAACCGTAAACTGTAGAGACACAAAACCTTCACTAATGTCTTCAGGGTCTTTAGACACAACTTCAATCTATTTAGTGCGAAAGTATCCGATGACCCCTTATATGAGTTATTGCCCTTTAACGTCTTTGCACTTACTATTAAATCTTATAACTTTGAAACTAAAAGTCGTAGAAGTATGGGGTCAAGTGCAATGTGACCCTTGACCTTTGACCTTGAATATTTTTAAGGTCAAAGGTCAAGGTCATTTCAAATTTTTAAATTTTTTCATTTTTTCTATCTTTCAAGCCATTTATGGATTCTTTTTGTATAAAAATTTACTTTAGAGAGTAAAATATAAAAATTAAAGAAATTTAAAGAAGGTGGAAAGACCTCTAATTGTTCGAGAACAATTAGTCTCCTAGTTATTATTCTTTTTCTTCCCGGACTTTTGAAACCGCAAGACTTATCAAAAAACTTTATAGTTCATGATACTGGATATTAAAAGTTATTCCGAAAAACGACCCAACGTGTTTGACCTATGACCTCTTACAAAGTTATTGCCCCTTTCACAAGAATAGCTTGTTATCGCTACTCCTTCGAAACCGTAAATCGTAGAGATACAGAACCTTCACCAATGTCTTTGACTAATTGAGAGGACTTTTCAATCTATTCATTGCGAAATGATTTGTCGACCCCTTCAATGAGTTATTGCCCCTGAAAGTTTATGAAGTTTACAAATAATGAAAAATTTTCAAAACAATAAGTTGTACAGACATGGAACCAACTGCATTAGATTCTTTGACCTCAGATCTTGAAATTTTTTTCAAGGTCAAAGGTCAAGGTCATTCAAAATTTGAGAAATTAAGCTCTTTTTATATCTCTTTTGTCTTTCATTATATACTAAATCTCTTTGCATCTTTAATATGTCCCCTTA